TTTCAATTTATACCATTAGAGATATTAATCAATAAATTAAAAACTTATTAAACATTTTCATAATTTAGTATGGTTTTAAAAGTATATACCTTTAGTTATGACATGTCCCACTTTTTGATTTCATATCCACCATAGTTTTCCACCTATATATATTAAACCAGGTGAAGGCTAGGAAACGCATTAGAACATTCACTCTCTTTTCCCTTCTTTGTTTTCCCTACGAATATTGCATAAACTTTATAAGGCAGAGAAAATAAAAATATAGAATTGAATACCAAACTGAAAGGGGAAGCTAACAAGTTTAGATAGAAAGCAAAGTCCCATGGCATCTAGCGTTGTCTGTCAATATCCGACCAAAACACAACTTCAGGTTAAGAATTTCGATGATGAAAACGTTGTAACACCAGAACCTAATAATGGAAAGAAGGAGTGTAATGTAGCACCTAAAGACACATCTCCTACGCTTCCTGGGTGGTATGCTGACGTATCTTGGCCAGGTACTGTTTCTTTCCTACTATCTCTAATGACCCTTCAAATTCAATTACTTCACTCATTTATTTATATATCATATCATATAATTTCATATATGCTTTATTCTAGATTTTAATTCGCTGCCTTTTTTTGGTCAATGCTCTAAATTTGGTGTTTAACTTTTTGAGTTTTCAGTGGGCCTTTGTCACACCTATCAATTGGCACAAGTAGTTTCCTGAGAGGAAAGAAGTAAAAAATGGTATCTTAATAATATTAAAAGAACACACATATTGATAAAAAATTTACTGAGTTTCTTAATTTTGTGAAGTTGTTTAAAAGGTATAAATAAGTTTCAAAACCAGAAAAAATGTATTATTGATTTGTGTTTGTATCTATGCTGACATGTCGTTTTCAAATTTTTACAATAATATAAAAAGTGTTGGAATGATTTTTTGGTACTTTTTATAAAAGAAGGAACTGTGTAAAAAGTGTAGCAAGAATGAGGCATTACTATCTGTACTAGCAACATTTTCAACTATTAACCACACCAACAACTGTACAGGAGAAGCACACATATATAAAATGGAGAAAATCATATTCCAAGGGAAATCAGAATTCCAAGAGCTTCTTGTATTTGAGGTACCTATTCTTTGTGAGCATGTCCCATACTTTATAATCGTTCGATTTGTTTTTTATAACTTTGTTACTATTTGATTTTAATGCAACTTTTCGTAATCCATTTTGTTCTCATCTCTACAGTGTAGGGATTTCCATATCATCACACTGATGCATGTTGAAAGTTTGCTCTGCAAATTTCTTTAACATACTTTTCTGTATTTCTTATGAACAAAATAAAATACTGACGGGATGTTGTGAATTGTGTAGTCATCCAGGCATGGCAAGGTTGCAATTCTGGATGGGTATATCCAGCTGACAGAGAATGACGAATTTGCTTACCAAGAGATGCTCACTCACCTTGCACTCTGTTCCGTTCCAAATCCAAAGAAGGTTTTCTGTTCTTCATCCACTATTGCTTTTTAAATCAACTTTCAATTACTCAATATCCCTCAAGCCTGTGTAATGGAAAACGTGATGTGATTACCAAATTTGTTAAACAAGGGTTGATGAACATTACAGGTACTGTTAGTTGGAGGGGGAGATGGTGGAATTCTTAGGGAAATATCACGTCATGCATCTGTCGAACACATTGATATATGTGAAATAGACAAAATGGTGATTGACGTAAGTCTTCTTAACATTCCTTGGATCCACTCTGAATGAACTTTCACTGAAATGAACTACAAATAAAAAACACCCCTCTCAAAGACATTGCTTCTGTTGAATATTCTTACAACCGTGCTAATTTCTGATGCTTTTTTATTATACCCTATATAGGTTTATAAGAAGTTTTTCCCAGATATAGCCGTTGGTTACGAGGATCCCCGAGTGCATGTTCACATCAGAGATGGTAAAAATTTAAACCACTTGTTTTAATCTTACAGAACAAACATGATATATGTTGTTATTTATAGAACAAATGTTGTAATAATTTCTGCACACGGAAGAAAAACAGGAAAAGAGAGAAGAGAAAAGTGTAATAAGATAGTTGCTTGGGGAGAAACAGAAACAACAGAAATTGCTGTATGAGCTACATTACTCAATATACTTGTACGAATTTTGTAACAAACATATGCAGGAATTGCATTCATCAATTCTGTTCCTGAGGGCACGTACGATGTCATTATATTGGATGCTTTTCAACCAATGGGTATAAAACCTTTCTTTCATTCAATTCTTTTACTTAAAATTGGAGCTGAAGTGAGAAAAGAACATAGACTTTGTTACCTTAAAAACAAACAGAAAGTAGTTTAAAGGCTTGAAGGAACGCAATGTGATGCAGGACCTATAGCGGAAGTTCTTGCTTCTAACTGCTTCTTAGATTCAGTAGCAAAGGCTCTTCGACCTGGTGGAGTGTTGTCTGCTCCAGCAGACAGCTTGTGGCATAAGAATTTCGTAGTTGCAGATACCATAGCAAAATGCAAGAATGTATTCAAAGGCTCGGTTAACTATGCTTGGACCACAGTTCCTACATATGCAAGGCATTTCTTATATAACTACATATTTACATCTCTGAACTCTAATATTATAAGAGAAGCTTTTGGTGAGAAGTGTTTATTTATTTGTTTCTGTTTCACAGTGGGGTGATTGGGTTCATGCTTTGCTCCACAGAGGGTCCCCCAGTCAACTTCAAACACCCAATAAATCCATTGAACACGAAGCAAAATGGGGTCGCAAAGGGACCTCCTAAGTTCTATAACTCAGAGGTAGTCCATTGAAACGGTTTCGGTTCAATTTCCTTTGCTTTTTTTCTCTTTCTTTCCAAGTTAAGAATTAACTCCTCTTTGGCCTTTTATTTTTCTTACGACAGATCCATTCTGCTGCATTCTGTCTTCCTTCTTTTGTGGACAAGGATGTTGATCCAAAAACATATTGATAAAAATCTCAAAAGTAAAAATAAGGAATTGTTGTTAACCCTTTCTACTGTGTAGGTTTCACATGCAAAACTACCATAAAGTTTATAAAAATGAGAAGTTGATAACTTGCCGCCGTGTTATTTCTTAATTATTACTCCTGATTCCAATCAGTAGAAATACAATTGATGAATAATGCAACTCATGCACTTACTTCAACTTAGATATTTATGATTCTAGCGACAAGTTGTGCCGAGTCCCACGCTACCAAATATCACGTAGTTTGATGCTTGAACACAACTCTATAGCCTCCACCAAAAGCAACAACAAACCACCGTCAGTGTCACAGGCTTCTCCGCAACTCCGCCACTGGTCGTAGTGTCCGGTAATGAAAACACTAAAAAGACAACTGAATTCAAAACACAATTGTAAAACAAAGAATCTATCCGTCAATTGTACTAATCCTCTACATTCATCTACCACCACCCGCTAAAAAGTCGCACAATGACATTTGTTAATGGGGGAATGGACAAGAAAGAACCCTCTGAACAAGTGAGGCAAAATTGAAGAATGTATATAAAGTTTAACTTTTGAGCTACGCGTAGAAGTATCAGATCTACAATCATGAGTAAAAACAGATAAAATGTAAATAAGTTCGTAGATTGGAATGCGAGAAGAGATAAAGTAGAAATTAATAATGTTTGATTTAACAAACGAGAAATGAAAATCAAAATAAAAAATTGAGAAATATATAAAAATAGGTGAAAGAATGTAAAGAGTTTCATTATTTTCAATATTAACTTACTCGTAATTTTTATTTTATTTTCAATTGAGTGTCAGTTCCAATTGTTTCTGTATACTATATACTCAATTTTCATTTTTTATATTTTTTAACTGATTGTTTCTAATTGGGTACATGTTATCTTGCTTCACCACGTGTTTAGAGACATAAGATTTTACGATGAAAAAAAGATAATAAATAAAAATATTAAAAAAAGTATAAATATTTAAATGTAAAACATAAAAATTATTTGATTCAATATTATTAATAATACACTATTTAAACATAACAATATAAAAATTATGATAAAATAAAAAGTGATATGAGTAAATTTAATTTTATGAATATAAAATAAATCAAAACAATAAAAAAAGAAAATTAAAATGTCTAGAAAAAAAAGAATAGTTATAAATGTAAAAACATGGGTACTTTGATAATTTAAACAAGACTACATGTAGAGTTGTCAAAACGGGTAATTCGGTCTGGTTCACCACGAGTTGATCACTTAACCCAACCCGGCTCAATTATTAGCAAGCTGAAAAAATTCGAACATGACCCGACCCATCACGTGTTGAATATTGATAATTTTTGTATCACTCTCATTTATAATATTAGAGTCTTGAATAGATAAATTTATAATATTTTTCTTTCTTGAAACATCTTCTTTGTCATCGTCTACAATATAATAAAAAAAGGCTAACTAATAATATTGAAACACAAAATAATAAATAATTAAATTAAATTATGTGGGTCTAACCCGACTCACCACAGGTTCAACCCGGTGAGCCGGGTTCTAAATGAGCCGGGTTGAAAACTAACCCACATAAAACAATTAGATTTTTTTTAAACCCAACTCACCTCAAACCCATGGTGAGTCGGATTGGGTTGACTCGTAGGTTATAACTCATTTTTACAACACTATAATTATTAGGATCATAGACAAAGAAAATTGTTTCAGTTTGAACAATACTTATGGAGAGAGGAGTTTATTGGAGTAGGAAGCAACTTAATTAAGACTAGAAACTGCCTGAACTAATTATTTTGTGTTTTACTTACGTACTAAAGTTAAAATTAAATGATAATATATAAATTCCCATCTTTTAAATTGAGTTAGATTTTTAACCTGTACTTCCTATTATAACATGTTCCATATAGAAAACCACATTTGCTTCATTTTAACATGAATACAGATTAAACACGAAAAAGCTGTCAACATGACTTTGTGTAGTGTGTGTGTGTATATATTTATTGTAGAATTTCTTAATCATCCAAACAAATTTAACGTTAACACCTTCAAGAACCTTTATTCGAACAGCTGAATCACTCATAATGAGAGTAATAAAAAATGGAACTTGTACATTCCATCACTTTGCAACAGGTTCATGTTGAAGAGTGGAATAAGATACAGATAACAATGAACACTCTATACAAGTAAGTGGAATAAAAACCGCAGGGTCAAAAGAATCCTGATCCAAACAAGGAATGAATGGGGAATTTTACATATTGCTGGTGATTGATTGTACTATAAATACTGTTAAAGGGGAATTTGATTTGTATCAGGATCTTTTGGGGACATAGACATTATGCACAAACCGTAAGGTAGGAAAAAGTATAGAGCTAAAAACACAAGAACACCAAGATCAGCCTCTTCACCAACTGCTGGACGACGCGGACTGATCCAGTATATCTGGACTGCACACCAAAAACAGTACAACAAAGCTATGCATATCATAAGTAGCATCGACTGATATGACTTTTTCTTTATGGAGTTTGAAGAACTTGCTCTGCATGGAAATTTAGGAGAGCAAAAGTTAAAACCATTGTGTGTTTATGATATACGTTGATGATTAACGTTCTAAGTAGCAAAAACTAGAAACCTGTTGATGTAAAAAAAGCCGATGATTAAGCAAGCACATAAGAAGCCAACTACAAGAACAGCATCTGGGGTGACTGGTGCTCTGCTTTGCCACCAGCCCGTGCTCAAAATCCAAGTGTACGTGGTTGTTTTCCCATTCTCCTGAATGATTTGGGAGATAATATATGTTTGTCAATCAATTGTAGTACAAGAGTAATGGTTCAGGACAAATTATGTCAAATTGCAGCATTTTTCTTTTCTATGCACACCATTACATAATTTGCAGTACTGTCAAATTCAGCTCAATTCCAGGTTTGCCTTTGTTTCCATATAAAAAAATAGCTAACACCGTTATATTTGTAAATGCTATCATAAATAGAAAAGACAAATAGTAGTTCAGTAGAGTCAGCCACGGGAATCAAAACTTTCAAATTACCCTTTTAGAATTTAGACTAAATAGATAAGACATTTAGTTAGACATAAAGTCCAATTTTTCGTATAGTTTAGAATCTCTCCAATGAAATTTGTTATTTATTAGGCATATCATTCTACTCGCTATTGAACCACTCATTAATATCTAGTCTCACGCATGAAATTTATATATATCATGTGTGAGGAGTGTTGAAAGAACTACATTGACTATAGATAAAATCAATTTAGAATATATGTGTATTAAAACCTATTTTTACAAACTGATTTTGTGGAATTAAATTAGAGTTAAAGTTCACTTCTTAACATATCTAATATAAAGATTTTAAAATCTCCTAAGTTAGTTCAAGGCAATTAATTTAAATCATTTATACATATTTAATATCTATAGCAATTTTGTACCGAAAAAGGCTAAAATGTAAAGTCCAGGTCTGTTCAAGAGTTTATAATATCTCAGGTATTGAAATGTATAATTCATACACTTTCAAAGACTAATTAGGGGTTACTTCTACCGTGGGAGAGCAGAAAGGTGTAATTCAAAGAAATGTAATTAACTTGTATATTATACTTTTATATTAATCTTAAATTACCCTTAGTCCTACTTAAATGATATTTCAACAAATTCCTCAGCGTTTCCATTGTTTGAGTTGAACTGAGGTTTGTTCGTTATCATTTGGTATCAATCAGGGTAAGTGCACAATGATCCCACACCGGCAGAGCGTGAGGGATGTTAGGCTCTTTATGGATTTATAATCTGAAAATCTAGTTTCTTTACTTTAAATGTCCATATTAATAATTTAAAGCGAAAGTAATTGAATTCCAAACATTATTCATCCTTGTGTGATTGATTACAAAATTTAGTGTTTAAAGGCTTGATTGAAAGCTTACCTTATTAGAAATAAGAGAGATAGAAAAGAAAAACTGATACATATATATACACACACATAAATATACACTTTGTTATTGAATTTATATTCCACATTGTCTAACATGTGATGGAAAACTTTTATTTATTTTTCCCACATTTTGCAGTTCATCTGTTTAAGTTTCATGATAAATCTCATGGACCTATTGTAGTAAAAAACAGACGATAAAGAGTCAGAGTTAATATGCACTTAAATTCATCTCCATCAAATGCATCTAAAGAGTCTGTGAATGACTGATGTAACCCATTTGATTTTATACAATTTGAACCTAAAAGCTCAAACAAACCATCACAACTACAAAAACATAAAAATCAAAGGGAAAATGGATGTATCATATTTATACAATAAACAAGCACTAACCCTTTAGACAACGATTCCTTTTCACATAGAAGAAACAAAAACATGAGACGCTGATTCAGTCATCCCTAGTCACTGATTATGCAAGATGGATGGATTTCATAAGATGTATAAGACGTAGTAATATCCTTAAAGACTTGATACCGCTTGAACTAAAGCTTTTGGGTTAACTTACCAATTTATTAGATAATAGAAAACCAGAGANATATAAAGTTTAACTTTTGAGCTACGCGTAGAAGTATCAGATCTACAATCATGAGTAAAAACAGATAAAATGTAAATAAGTTCGTAGATTGGAATGCGAGAAGAGATAAAGTAGAAATTAATAATGTTTGATTTAACAAACGAGAAATGAAAATCAAAATAAAAAATTGAGAAATATATAAAAATAGGTGAAAGAATGTAAAGAGTTTCATTATTTTCAATATTAACTTACTCGTAATTTTTATTTTATTTTCAATTGAGTGTCAGTTCCAATTGTTTCTGTATACTATATACTCAATTTTCATTTTTTATATTTTTTAACTGATTGTTTCTAATTGGGTACATGTTATCTTGCTTCACCACGTGTTTAGAGACATAAGATTTTACGATGAAAAAAAGATAATAAATAAAAATATTAAAAAAAGTATAAATATTTAAATGTAAAACATAAAAATTATTTGATTCAATATTATTAATAATACACTATTTAAACATAACAATATAAAAATTATGATAAAATAAAAAGTGATATGAGTAAATTTAATTTTATGAATATAAAATAAATCAAAACAATAAAAAAAGAAAATTAAAATGTCTAGAAAAAAAAGAATAGTTATAAATGTAAAAACATGGGTACTTTGATAATTTAAACAAGACTACATGTAGAGTTGTCAAAACGGGTAATTCGGTCTGGTTCACCACGAGTTGATCACTTAACCCAACCCGGCTCAATTATTAGCAAGCTGAAAAAATTCGAACATGACCCGACCCATCACGTGTTGAATATTGATAATTTTTGTATCACTCTCATTTATAATATTAGAGTCTTGAATAGATAAATTTATAATATTTTTCTTTCTTGAAACATCTTCTTTGTCATCGTCTACAATATAATAAAAAAAGGCTAACTAATAATATTGAAACACAAAATAATAAATAATTAAATTAAATTATGTGGGTCTAACCCGACTCACCACAGGTTCAACCCGGTGAGCCGGGTTCTAAATGAGCCGGGTTGAAAACTAACCCACATAAAACAATTAGATTTTTTTTAAACCCAACTCACCTCAAACCCATGGTGAGTCGGATTGGGTTGACTCGTAGGTTATAACTCATTTTTACAACACTATAATTATTAGGATCATAGACAAAGAAAATTGTTTCAGTTTGAACAATACTTATGGAGAGAGGAGTTTATTGGAGTAGGAAGCAACTTAATTAAGACTAGAAACTGCCTGAACTAATTATTTTGTGTTTTACTTACGTACTAAAGTTAAAATCAAATGATAATATATAAATTCCCATCTTTTAAATTGAGTTAGATTTTTAACCTGTACTTCCTATAATAACATGTTCCATATAGAAAACCACATTTGCTTCATTTTAACATGAATACAGATTAAACACGAAAAAGCTGTCAACATGACTTTGTGTAGTGTGTGTGTGTATATATTTATTGTAGAATTTCTTAATCATCCAAACAAATTTAACGTTAACACCTTCAAGAACCTTTATTCGAACAGCTGAATCACTCATAATGAGAGTAATAAAAAATGGAACTTGTACATTCCATCACTTTGCAACAGGTTCATGTTGAAGAGTGGAATAAGATACAGATAACAATGAACACTCTATACAAGTAAGTGGAATAAAAACCGCAGGGTCAAAAGAATCCTGATCCAAACAAGGAATGAATGGGGAATTTTACATATTGCTGGTGATTGATTGTACTATAAATACTGTTAAAGGGGAATTTGATTTGTATCAGGATCTTTTGGGGACATAGACATTATGCACAAACCGTAAGGTAGGAAAAAGTATAGAGCTAAAAACACAAGAACACCAAGATCAGCCTCTTCACCAACTGCTGGACGACGCGGACTGATCCAGTATATCTGGACTGCACACCAAAAACAGTACAACAAAGCTATGCATATCATAAGTAGCATCGACTGATATGACTTTTTCTTTATGGAGTTTGAAGAACTTGCTCTGCATGGAAATTTAGGAGAGCAAAAGTTAAAACCATTGTGTGTTTATGATATACGTTGATGATTAACGTTCTAAGTAGCAAAAACTAGAAACCTGTTGATGTAAAAAAAGCCGATGATTAAGCAAGCACATAAGAAGCCAACTACAAGAACAGCATCTGGGGTGACTGGTGCTCTGCTTTGCCACCAGCCCGTGCTCAAAATCCAAGTGTACGTGGTTGTTTTCCCATTCTCCTGAATGATTTGGGAGATAATATATGTTTGTCAATCAATTGTAGTACAAGAGTAATGGTTCAGGACAAATTATGTCAAATTGCAGCATTTTTCTTTTCTATGCACACCATTACATAATTTGCAGTACTGTCAAATTCAGCTCAATTCCAGGTTTGCCTTTGTTTCCATATAAAAAAATAGCTAACACCGTTATATTTGTAAATGCTATCATAAATAGAAAAGACAAATAGTAGTTCAGTAGAGTCAGCCACGGGAATCAAAACTTTCAAATTACCCTTTTAGAATTTAGACTAAATAGATAAGACATTTAGTTAGACATAAAGTCCAATTTTTCGTATAGTTTAGAATCTCTCCAATGAAATTTGTTATTTATTAGACATATCATTCTACTCGCTATTGGACCACTCATTAATATCTAGTCTCACGCATGAAATTTATATAAATCATGTGTGAGGAGTGTTGAAAAAACTACATTGACTAGAGATAAAATCAATTTAGAATATATATGTGTATTAAAACCTATTTTTACAAACTGATTTTGTGGGATTAAATTAGAGTTATAGTTCACTTTTTAACATATCTAATATAAAGATTTTAAAATCTTTGTTAGTCCCTAAGTTAGTTCAAGGCAATTAATTTAAATCATTTATACATATTTAATATCTATAGCAATTTTGTACCGAAAAAGGCTAAAATGTAAAGTCCAGGTCTGTTCAAGAGTTTATAATATCTCAGGTATTGAAATGTATAATTCATACACTTTCAAAGACTAATTAGGGGTTACTTCTACCGTGGGAGAGCAGAAAGGTGTAATTCAAAGAAATGTAATTAACTTGTATATTATACTTTTATATTAATCTTAAATTACCCTTAGTCCTACTTAAATGATATTTCAACAAATTCCTCAGCGTTTCCATTGTTTGAGTTGAACTGAGGTTTGTTCGTTATCATTTGGTATCAATCAGGGTAAGTGCACAATGATCCCACACCGGCAGAGCGTGAGGGATGTTAGGCTCTTTATGGATTTATAATCTGAAAATCTAGTTTCTTTACTTTAAATGTCCATATTAATAATTTAAAGCGAAAGTAATTGAATTCCAAACATTATTCATCCTTGTGTGATTGATTACAAAATTTAGTGTTTAAAGGCTTGATTGAAAGCTTACCTTATTAGAAATAAGAGAGATAGAAAAGAAAAACTGATACATATATATACACACACATAAATATACACTTTGTTATTGAATTTATATTCCACATTGTCTAACATGTGATGGAAAACTTTTATTTATTTTTCCCACATTTTGCAGTTCATCTGTTTAAGTTTCATGATAAATCTCATGGACCTATTGTAGTAAAAAACAGACGATAAAGAGTCAGAGTTAATATGCACTTAAATTCATCTCCATCAAATGCATCTAAAGAGTCTGTGAATGACTGATGTAACCCATTTGATTTTATACAATTTGAACCTAAAAGCTCAAACAAACCATCACAACTACAAAAACATAAAAATCAAAGGGAAAATGGATGTATCATATTTATACAATAAACAAGCACTAACCCTTTAGACAACGATTCCTTTTCACATAGAAGAAACAAAAACATGAGACGCTGATTCAGTCATCCCTAGTCACTGATTATGCAAGATGGATGGATTTCATAAGATGTATAAGACGTAGTAATATCCTTAAAGACTTGATACCGCTTGAACTAAAGCTTTTGGGTTAACTTACCAATTTATTAGATAATAGAAAACCAGAGATGTAGGAAAGCAAACACAAAAAGGCCGGCAACATAAAAGGTGCCGACATGTTACCTCAAACAGATGATCAAGAAAGAAGTGGGTAAAAGAGCCAGCAGATATCAAGAAAAAACATTGCATCCTGGTAAGGGGGACCTGCAATCGGAGGTTAATAAAGTAGAAAATGATGAATTTTGAAGGAGGAAAGAAAAGGAGTGAGACTGACCCTGGAGACGGAATCAAGAAGGTGTGTGCGAAGAAGATAGGTGGATATCCGAGAATAGAGAAAAGAGAGAGGAAGACCCAAAATAAGTATGTAGTAGAAAGGATGATGGATGAGATTTGCAAGAGCGGATCCCAGAGACTGAGCAGGGCCATCAGAAAGTGAAGCAAGCCACTCTGAGAAAGAACCAATATCAGGGCCAAAGAAGGCGTTTACTGTGTAGGTAAGTGTGTGGTGAGGACTAAACCTTCCATTGGTGATGGTAGTGAGAGCTAAAGCAGAGGCCATGGCATACATGAGGTGAGGGCCAGGGCCTGGCATTGCAACCTAGTTTTACTTTGTTAGTTCAGGTTTTGGTTATTCCACAAAACTAACCGCTTCAATAAGTAATCTAATCCCATTTTGTTAGTTATGTTGGATACTGATACCGTTTCTTTTTTTGCCACTTTTACCCTGCAGCTTCCACATCAGCCACACCATCAAAGCTTCTCAATTAGTCCAACCACCTAGGTCTCTGTTTATAATACAAACATTTTCAAATAATTTAACTTTAAATAACTTTTAACTACCATTCTGTTATTATTTTATTTTAAATATCTAACCAAATCTTTTTAAATTAAATATCTTATAAATCATCAAAATTTTAGTTTAAGTTTCTGAAAAGAAATTAATTTTTTCTTCTCATGTATTAGATTCTATCTTTAAATGACCATGAAGTATTTTTACACTTTTCTTTTTTATCTTTTAATTCACTATCATAACAACTAGTGTTAGACTCGTTTTTTTTTAATTTATGTTAAGAAAATTAATTTATTATTATTATATTTAAAAAATAGTTTATTTATATAATTAAATTTAAGTGTTATAATTATATAATCATAAATATATAATTAAATAGAGTTTGATAACAAAAAAATTAATAATTAATTACAGGTATTTATTTTTCTATGACATTAATTAAAAATAAATAATATTTTAACATTGATTTTTCTAAGGTAATGTAATAGATTATAGAAAGTACCATTAATAATATCAATACTAAATGGATTATACTAATAATAGTACTTAATAATAAAAATAATAACAATACCGATACTAATAATAATAACACAAATAATAATAATATTTGAATATGAATTTGTATATTTAAATTATAAAATTGATACAACGATTATTTAATACCGTGTGGTAAACAATTTTGTTGTATGATTAAAATATATAATTAAATTTTTTAATTATATATTATATTAAACTCAAATACGTATCTATCTATAGTTGTTAGAATAAAATATAAATATATTACGTAATGTGATTTTATATAAAATAAGTATATTACAAAACTAATGTTAAATTTGTTAAATAGAAATACATATAGATAAACAAATTTAAAAGAGAAAAAAATATTGAAAAGGTATTACACGGTACAACTAGAGAAAAATTAAGTTTAACTTAAATAGAATTTGTAACATCCACAAACAATATTGAAATCATAATAGAAACATCACACAGTCAATAAGATAGATTTGTTAACATGTTGAAAAAAAAATATAAACCATTTATAAAACTAACTTTATATTCAACAAGTACAAATATCAGAACCTTTTACAAAATAGTGTCTCCAAAACAACCTATAAAAGATAAAAACCAAAGAAAATAAAATATTATATCTACTAAACATCGGGAACCCTTGTCGCCTAAAGTTTGTTTAATCGTCACCTCCTTAAACTCTCGCACCCTCCAGATTATCATCTTCATAAGAAAAGAACACATAGAACAACACAACTAAGAAACATATAAAAATGATAAACTAATTGTAAAACAATTACATATGGTAAGATCAAATATAACATACAAGATTAATCACACAATAGTATAACATATTTCTCAATCACATCAAAAACTCAGATTTGACCAACTCTTTACAATCTAGTACAAATGTCGAGTCATGGAAAGGTTTTTCACTTGTTTTTTTTTTCAATAATCATCTTTATGGTGTGAGTTTAAGAAAAAGTCAAAGGGTAAGCATGTGCTAGAAAATAATGGAGCTAAAGCGTATACTAGAAAGCTTAGTTTCAATTTTTATAAAGACCTTATTTTGTTTTTGGTTAAAAATAAGAAAATTTTAGAATATTACATGCACCATCATTTAAACTATCATATCAAGAGTGATACATTATACATAGAAAATTGTCTTTTTAAGAGAAAATAATTGCTAAATAATACATCTTTTAACACTTGTTTTTAAGATATTAATTATTATTATTATTTTAATAATTTTGTACTATTTTGATTGTCTAATGAGAAAAACAATGCAAATATGTTTTCTAATTAAATATATGGATTCACTTCATTTAATATGTTTTTAGACATCTAATTTATTGAAAATTAGATAAATAACATATTTACTATTTTTCTATGAAAATAAATATATCTATTGAATTTTTAACCACTTAATGTATGTTTATTAGTTGAAATTTTATTAACCACTGAACCTTTTATGATAATAAAACATTGGTGAAATCGTTTCATAACATCTTAAATATTTCTTTTGATTTTTAATAAAAAACATTATTTTGCGAGGAGTAGCTTTGCATTTTCCACATAATAATAGGTAAACGACATAAATGCATCTTTTAAACACTTTCTATCTGTCTCATTACAAATATAGTTCTAACTTTGTTCTTACATAAGTTAATTCTTTGTTTGATTAAAGGGAAACAGTAAGGAAGTATTGAGTTTTTTTAATACATTTTAACAAATAACAACTAATCAATTACAAAGTTATTCTACAATATTTTAATCTTATTTTCGTAAGTTTCTTTGTGTTATGTCATTTATCACTTTTACAGTTTTTCTTCTTCAATTTTTATGTTAATGTCATTTATTACTTTTAAGATTTTTTTTAATTGTTAAGACATGTTTTATTTAATTATTGGTAAAAATATATATTTTAAGATAGAAAATATTTTTTTATTTTCATAAAACTAATATCTTATAAAAAATTATCTTAATAATTTCTAACACTTTTATAAAGTTGATTAGCAAAGTGTTGAAGACTACATAAAAAGGAAATAATAAGGCCGTGTTAACTTATTTACAATTGTTTGTGTAGATGAATTGTTGATTAATTTCTGTTTCTTTGGATTGATTTGTGAAGACTGAATTGCACTGATTTGTGAGATATTCTGATTTTATCCATCTCGCTATGTTGTTCGGATTTACAGTTGAAATGTCATATGTGTTCTCACCTGTTTGTAAAATATCACGATAATATTAGCGTTATTCGAGTGTTTGAAACTCAAGAAGACGAAGAAAAATAAAATTTGACTCACATATTCGGTTAAAAAAATGCATGTATTTGGTTCCAAGCTTCTGAACAAAAGCAAAGGAACTCGTATTCGGTTCCAATGTCCCTATATCTAGTTCCTCCATTATGCAGGAAGTCTCTCAAGCCATTTATTCGGTTCCAATGTGTGAATCTCATCATTGGACTTTCATTTTCGTATTGTGTTTTAATATATTCATTTCTAATATTTCAACTTGTAGATATTTTGTCCAGTTTTATGTTTATGTAATTTGTTTCAGTACAATAGTTGAGGCCGAGATGCGAATCCAAAGAGTCACGTCCTTTCCTCTTAGAATGTCGTTATCTTCACGTCTTCTTCCTATTCAGAACGCTCCAGGGAGAATGGGGTGGGTACCTGCGAAGACACTCCGACGCTCAAGTCAGAAAAAAGGAAAATCGTAAAACTCTTTCAGTTCAAATAATAAAAGAAATAATCTTTTCTCTCTCTTCTAATTCAGAAAAAACATACCTTTTTTCCTTCTGGTTTTTCATATTTAACCTAGCAGTAAGATAAAACTGTTTACCTGAAAATTCGGTTGGTTAGAGATCTTAACTGCTTGGAAAATATAACCGCTTAGTCGTACTTGATATTGGGTTAGTTGGTTCCATGATTTGCGACGTCATGGCCATTTGTCTATAACCGTTTTGACTAAAATTGACCGAACATTTGTTGACTTTTATCTTTGACTGGGTTTAACAAACGATCGCTAAAAGACGATCGGTAAATGGGATATAACGATCGCTCGCTTTGGCGGGTGAACGATAGTTCGGTAACAGTTGTTGGAAAAACTGATATAATCACGAACAAAATTTCCTGAGGCGTGTAGAGTCACTGTCCTTAAGGACTTATCCGCGGTGTATTGCGCAAGTCCCCCAGGATACAACAGGAACTTCTCAGAATATCTGAGGATCTCAGAACTAGCAAGAAACTCTAAAGAGAGTATAAGGATAAACCCAGAATAATTTTAGAAGAGGAAAAGAAGAAAGGAAAAGGAGAGAAGACTGACTTGGGATCATTTTGGAATGGGAGAAAAACTCTCTATTTATAGAGTTAGGAAAGAATAAAATCAATAAAAGCCATTAAATATTTTGCCGTTGGAGCACTTAATAAAATTAATACGAACGTTGTTGGCAATTAAAGTTTTGACCGTTATAATCCAACGTTTTCTTTTGCAATAATCTAACATTATTACAACAATCCCCCACTTATTGCAAAAGAAAGAAAAAAAACAAGAAACTTTTATTCTGGGTCTCATAGGATGTAATGCATCAGACCTGGTATAGCAAGCTATATGAACCAGTCTTAGATTGAAATACTTAACACACAGTGTAGTTGGTATAGCAAGCTATATGAACCAAAGACACTTGACGTGTGTTAGAGGTTTATCAATCACAATACACCCCCACAATCCTTGCTGTTATCGCTGTGTTGCGCTAACTAGGCCATGCGCGTGCCCGGTATTCATGAGTGCTCTAGAGATCATGCCAAGATCTCATGCAAGCGGCCCCACTCGACACTCATATAGGTGATTTCATCAAGTGTATGCTGCAAATCATACACCACCCGTAAGGGATATGAAAAATCATTAAAAACTTTGTTTAAGACAAAATTCTATCACCGTATAGAATTTTAATGACAAAGTTTAACCTCTCAATATTGCAGTCTCTAGCACTTTCACACACACCATAGGAAGGGACATAATTGATTAAAATCAATTTAGTGCTATCAGAACTAACAAGTGACTTGTTTTTACCCATATGAACCTTATTCATGGGATCTCCAATCACAAAGGTTGGGTTACCATCACTTGTTTGTTTGCAAGTGGCTTAAGTCTCATTCCCCTCGATGTTTCTAATATCATTTGTCTTCCCAGGGTTTTGTCAGAGGATCTGCTAGATCCCGTTCTGACTTCACATAGTCAATGGAAATAGTTCCACTCTTTAGCAGCTGCTTCACCAAATTGTGTCTCTATTCTTTCCATTATAATTCTTGTTTTTAGCTATAGCTATTGCCGATTGACAATCACAGTGTATTGACACAGATGGGGTTGGTTTCATTCCTAGTGGAATGTTTGCTAAGAAGTTTTTCAACCACTCANTCTCAGGGACACGCAGCGTCCCATAAGCTTCTCTCTTCTCCATTTTCAACCGCCCTCGAAACCCTCCAAAAACAACTCGGGTAAACCCTTTCCCTTTTCTCTCATTTTCTGTGTTCAAGCATTGCTCAAAGTTTTTGTTTTTTCTGCGTCAGCTACACCTTTAAGAGCATTGATCTTCTCCGTCGCGCCATGACCCACGCCTCCTTCTCCGAAGAAAACAACAAAGCTTTCGCCATTCTGGGCGCCGCCGTCATCGAAACTTCCGTCTCTTTTCACTTACTATCTAAAGACGTTGATATTTCTCCTAAAGAGCTTAACCGTCGATTGTCCCAAATCACCAGCGTCGAATCTTCATGCGCCGTCGACGGAACTCGATTAGGTTTGCAAAAGATCGTTCGCGTCTCGCCCAAAACCAATTCCTCCGCCCCTGCCGTCGTTTGCGGCGCATTTCGAGCAATCTTCGCTGCCATTTCTATTGACACCGGCAAGTCCGATGATGCAGGTAACGTCTTCTGGAACCTTCATGGCGGCGACCTAGGATCTGCCGTGGCTCTTTGAACTAAGTTTAGTTTTTAAGTTTCTTATGTTTGTGTTTGCTGCTCAAGATACTTCATAGTGACTTGTGTGTTGGTTGTTTATAGCTTCTTTTTAAGACAATCTAGTTACTGTTATTAGTGTTGGACCACTAGTTATGCTGTGAAGCAGCGAATGATAATCTAGTGTGATCTATAACTACTTGTTTGCTAACAGAATGAGTTATGAAGCAAGCTATGTAGCTTTTTTTTTTTTTTTGTTATGAAATTGTCATGTCGTCTGGCTATGGTCAAATGTCAATCATTTATGCTGTTATTGTAAAACTCAATGCTTAAATTGACTTACACATAGGATATTAAATCGGTCTGCGATAAGGGTGAAGACATGAATTTGGTCCTCTAATAAAGGGTGTTTTAAGTCAGTTTTCTCGAGTGTCAATCTACTTTTTTTCCTCGAAATACCCTTGAAGTTGAATACCTATTTGGTCTTTTAGTTGATGTTTATGTTTTCTTTACATCATGAAAGACAAAAATGTTGCTTGAAATGTTTGCAGGACCTACTCTGATGTAAAGTTGGGGTTACTGGTTTAAGTATTTTAACCAGGTTATTGTCTCTTTTCCTAATCATTGCCTTGGTCTGTTTTGGGTAAATCTTCCTTAGTTTTTACATCCGGTAAATTCTCATGAAGCTGGGAGGAGTAATGTGTGAAATTTATCACTAAAAGCTGATGCTTGTTTCATTTCACCGTTTTTAAACTCGTTTTCTGGGAGCTGATACCTAACTGCAGGTGGTGCAGAACCGATGTTTCTTACTTATCCTTTTATCTTTGAATAATACCTTCTGAGGGGTGTGTTAAGGTAAATAACATAATTAGGTGATTATGCAAGAAAGTTCAAGTCACAAGCGTTGAATACGATAAGGCATTATTCAGTAAGTTACTCTTTGAATCTTACTGAAATAAACTTAAAAATAGGCCTGTAGTTATAGCCGAACCTCAATTTTCATTTTAAATGTTAATGTAAGTTGAACTAAAGCTTGTTAAAGCTCTCTTAAAACCTGCTAAATGTTGGAGAAGGGAAGTAAGACTGTGTGATCCTCATGGCTTTTGGAATGATGTGGATTATTTTCAAATACCAATGTAACATTATATGATGACAATGCCTTCATATTAGAATCGTTGCATGAAATTGAAATTGTTCTCGCCACTATGGTTTGTTAACTGTCATTAGATGAGTTTGATAATGGATGACTTTATTTGTTCTTTTTTTAAAGTATTTTTTAAGTGTTTGTCAAATTTTAATAAGTAAAGTCCATCTTCTTCTTAAATAAGTGATTATTTTAAAAATACTTTTTTAAGTTTAAACAAATTTGTATAATGACACGAAAGAATAATGACTAACAGGGTGCTCGAGAAAATAAGTTAATGTGAAGGATACATAAAATCTGAAAAAGCATGGGTGCCCATTAATTCAGATCTAAATAATTGGATTAATCTATATTTTCTAAAATAACATTTTTAAACAAAATAGTTTGTTGCCAAATTCATATCATACACGTGTTATTTTCATACAAATTCAATTAATATTTAGTGAGACCCATATAAAGTTTATTCAATAATGATTAGTGTGCATGACAAAACTAATAAAAATTGGAATGTTGCACATTAGTATTCATTGCTATTCAAAACAGATTATAAAGTTAATATATACTTGACAGATATAGCAGCAAGAAATCACAATTCTAAAAATATCACATCATTAGTTTTACATGCGTGTTAGTTATAAATTTTTGAGAGAATCTCATAAACTATATTCTAAAACATATTAAATAATAATTAAGGATGTCATGTACCAGAAAGAACTAGTCAAGAATCAGAAAAAATAGTTATAGGTCTTCAATATATGTTATAATAATTAGTAAGTCTTGAGAATGGATATTAGTAAGCTAATCAAGCTACTTAATTTATAATTTGTTCTTTTGAGGTTTACGTCATGTGTTTAGTATAGTGTAAATATGTTAAAAGTTTCTAAGTCTAAAATGTTAAAAATGGTTTCAGCTTATATCTTTATTTAAGAGTGAGTGAATTGGTTCTTTAGTAAAATTTGGTTTTTTTAGTTAATAAAAACAATTTTCAAAAACTTCTTTAATCAATGATGTTTAATTAAGGTAACAATCACCAACATACAAAAAAATTTAATGAAAGAACGTAAAATAGATACAAGTTTTTATACTGCTTCAATTTTATACAAAATTACATTTAGTTATCTAATAACATTAATTAGATATTCACTAATAATATCAAAAGTTAGAATTATAAAATTCACTTACATAACTTACACTCTAGATATGTAAAAAATTTGAAAATTTTTCAAGATTTACAAAAAAGAATAAAGCTACACACAATTACTCTAACTTATCACTAATAAGGTGAAAAGAACACAGAAGAGATAAATAGAAAGAAAATACAATAAAAGAATTTATCTAATTTCTAAAGATGTTATAATTTTACCTAATGTTTAGTAATAGAGTTTTCAATAAAATTTGACCTTAATCTTTTTTAATGAAAAAAAAGACTTTTTGCAAATGTTAATATCTTAAAACATTCTCTCTCGTGTTCTTTGTAATATAAGAAGAACTGATTAAAAAAAACATATATTTGCTTTAAAAAAAACTGTTAATGGATTAATAGGAAGATAAAAATAATATTTCATTTTAATGCAAAGATAAAAAATGGATTGAATTAATCAATTAAAATATAATCGATTAAAAAGATAACTTTTGCATATAATTGTATTCATGTGAATTGAATGAAGGTGCTTTTATAATTGTTGAAAATATAATATAAAGAGAGTTGATTGTTTGTATCCTATTTCTAAAGTGGAAAAAAGAAAATAGAAACTAGATAATTGTGAAATTCAGATTGAAATAAAAATATGATCCAAATCTATAGTCTGGATTGTGATAGGCAATGGATAATTTAAAATATGAAGATATTACGAGACCTTTTTGTAGTGATTATTGAACTCTGATCTTCCACAAACGTATAAATTTTATGATTGAGATGTTTGGTCTTTAATAGGATGGGTGTGCAGTGGAATTTTCATGATGAAACAAAGTATATAAATAGAAAAAAGGAAAAACGCAATTTTGCTGTTAATGAAAACAATGAAATTGCTGACTTAAGTGAATGAAGTCAATGTTGGTTCTTCCTTTGAAATCGAGAATTGAGTGACCTCTCCGACCATCTCTTTGTTGCACATATTTTGCTGTTAAATAGTTACTTTGACCTTGTGAACCAGGCAGAAGCTATGATTTTGATGGGAAAGTGCATAGTTTATGGGGAGAAGTGTTGATAAGATATACATTGTTTTTAAGAGCTCAGTGTTACTAGTCCAAGCAGTCAGACCAATTACAAAATCATCTTCTTTTTCTGTGGGCGCCTCCTTAAAATTATTTTAAAACCATCTCTTTTTTATAAAAATAAAAATACACAAATGCGATGTGACAGATAGATAAAAAAAATATAGGAAAAAGGAAACAGTGAGAAAAGTGATATTAGAATATTTTGTACTAAAACTAGGGATGGGGATAATATTAATAATTGATAAATAAAATAAAATAATAAAAGGGGTAGTGAGTGAGTGGATGGTGCGTAGTGAGGATGAAGAGAGAGCCTATTAATATCTGGAGAGCCCACTCATCTTTTTGCGTTTCTTCAGAATAACCCAAATCTCATCTCAGTTGCTGACATGTCCATCGAGTTTGAATCTCAATCCATTTCCACCCCGACGGCCCAAGCCCAAGACAGATCCAACTCCGGCTGCGCCTTGCTATTGCCTTCCTGCTGTCTGGGGCCACGACGCCGTTCCTCATGGTGGGAGCGCGTCCGCTCCACCTCCTGGTCCCACTCCAGTTCACCTTCATCCGGTGACCGATGGTGGTCGCGTGGCCTCAGGGCGCTCAAGAAGCTTCGCGACTGGTCCGAGATCGTGGCCGGCCCCAGGTGGAAGACCTTCATTCGCAAGTTCAACCGCAACCGCGCCTCCAAGCGCATGCCCAAGTACCAGTATGATCCAATGAGTTACGCCCTCAACTTCGACGAGGGCCATAACGGGGATTTCAACGACGACGCCGCCCTCCGCAATTTCTCCACGCGCTACGCCGCCGTCAACTTGAAGTCAGTTTCCCCCAAGGCCCGTGACACCGACGACGCCGTTTTCGTGTGAGTGGTGGAGTGGGCACGGTACTACGCGTGGTTAACGCGGTGAGTCCTTTGGTTGGTAGCTGAGGCTGCCCCTTCGCCTTACTTTTCACTTTTCATTTCCTATCGCCAATTATTTACTCTTATTTCTTTTCCTATATAGTATATACATCCCATATAAATCGGAATGGTCACATTACTGTGTATATACACTTTTTTTTATTTTTTTTCCATATTCTATCATAAGTAATTCAATTTTTTTTTTTATGGTTGGAGCTTGGGTTGGGTGGGTGGGTGGAGGATCCAGCAATTCATCTTTGATTTGACTTGATAATAGCATTTGGTAGTGATTATGAATATTATTATTATTATTGTTATGAGGTGGGGGTTTGCTTTTTGAATAGGCAATTGCAATGAATAGACTTAGGTACAAATTGGGTATTTGTTTGAAGTATGTGACGTTCTTGAACCCTAAAATTTGTCATTTTCATGAATGTGATGAATGAAAGTGGGGTGGAAGAAATGCTCTTGTAAGTAGTGGAAGATACTTTCTTATGACAACCTACACCCTGTAAACACATTATTCAATCAATAATTAGATTGTGACATTTCTTATCTTTTATTTTTACATAATACCACATCTTAATTGCCCTCAAATCGTTTTCTTTTTCTTTATCTATATTACCAATTCATTTAATTTATTAAAAAAATATTATCAATGTACTAAATAAAATTAATAAAATTAATAAAATTCTTGTTTATTACTTTTAATGCAAAGCACACATGTTCGTAATATTTAATAAAAATCAATAGAAGAAAACGTTGAGGTAAACAAATTTTAAGTGTCGTAAAAAATGTTAAAATTTCTTAATGTACAGCAACTTAAACACCTACGACGCGTTATCTATAGTTTTGTACTTGGAGCTTTTATTTGCATTTATTTTAATATGAATGCAAAGTTACATTACGTATATGTTTGATAAATTCATAAAACATGCTAATAAAAAAGATTAACTAAAAAATTTTAAAATTCCAATTTGTAATTATACACCA